ATTTTTAGGAGTAACCTTGCATTTTATAGAAGGTTTAAAGCACGTAAATTGTGTTATTACAACAAGACAGCTTTCTGAGCGACACACTGCGAAATATTTAGCGACTACTTTGACATCTATATGTGACGAATGGGGGTATACCCACGTAACCTGCAAAATTAGATGTGCTATTACCGATAACAGTGCTCACATTGTTGCGGCTATTAAATCCTTCATTTCTGAAAAAATCACTTACCGTGCTTTCCGCACTTTCTGAATTTAGTCGTTGAAACAGGGGTAAAAAATGCAAATATAATTCTTGTTTTAAGCAACATTCGGAATATCGTAAAATATGTAACAAATAGTGTCATCAACTCAGATAAATTGAGAAAAATTAAAGTGGAAAATGGGGTCCCAGAGGGGTCAGTAAAAAAATTTATCCGGGATGTATGCATTAGATGGAACTCGGTTTATTACATGCTAGAACGCTTTATTGAGATGATCAGTATTTGCTCAGAAATTTTGCTAGCTGATTTTTTAAGTCCCGAAATGCCAACTTCGCAAGAAATTGAAATAATTAAGCCATTAATTTCTTTATTGAAACCCTTTGAATATGCAACAAAACAAACATCAGCTGAAAACTACATTACATTAGCGAAAGTTATTCCAATAATTAATTGTATTACTGCCGCACTTCAAAGCTTTTCGTCTACAGTCCCAGTTGTAAATGAAATTACTAATGTTTTAAAATTTGTAAATGGCAAGACGGTTTGGAAAAATAGAATATAACACTCATGCTGCGATTAGTACATTACTAGATCCGCGATTTAAGAACGTAAGTTTCCAAGATCCCGTAGCTCAGAGTGGCGCTTTACAAAAACTCAGAAATATTGTCAAAAATGAAATACCAACAAATAGCAGTGACTCTGAAATAGAAAACTGTCAGGCCAATTCTCCACAGCATTACGATTTTCGGGAGCACCATAAGCATTTGGTAGTGGGACAGAAAAGGAAAAGAGCTAATATTAGTCAGTCTGATGAAGTGACAATGTATCTATCTGCACATATATCATCTATAAAAATCAACCCCTTAGAAGAGTGGGAGGATTCAAAATCAATATTTCCACAGTTATATAAGCAAGCTCGCATATTTTTGGTAGTTGTTGCTTCATTAGTTCCTTGTGAACGATTGTTCTCTAAAGCGGGAGCCACAAAAACTCAAGACCGAAATCGTCTCTCCAGCAAGCACCTTGGACAACTGTTGTCTTTAAGCAACGTGCCACAGAATGTATTTTTTTATTAATATTAAAATTCTTTTATGTAAATATATAAATTAATTTAAGGAGCAAAGTAGATACCTGCACATAAATAAAAAATTTAAGTTTTTAAAGATGAGTGTTTTTAATGTTACTTTAGTACAAGGGTGGCCATTTCACACGTACACGAGAAAAACTGCGCTGCTTTCACACATCCATGAGCATACTCTATGAATCAGTGATGCCGACAATTATGGTTTTGCTATGATCGTGCCCAATTGATGCGAAACTTTCAAGCAATCAAGTCGCTGCAATACACGGTCAAAATGTTTAATATGGATTCGGATGTAGATTTTTTACTCACTAGTAATGGGGAGGAAGAGCACAATGTTTGGTGTGTCATGAAGAAATCGCACTGATGACAAACTTTTTTGTTAAGCGCCATTATAGCGCCATTTCCCTTTATTCCCAAATATTAAATTAATAAATTATTACGTACATATGCACATAAATAAAAAGAAGAATTTAAAATAATGCTAAGAAATTCCTTTATTGTAATTCAAAATAAGAAGAGTGATGAAAATTAATTAAACTTTTTGTTTTAATTTTAATTTTAATTATAATAAAAAATCTAAGCAAGCAATGCAAGTGAACTAAATTATATTAAAAGGTTAATTGTTTAATATTATATCTCCCTTTCACACTATTCACAAAATAAAAAAATCCCTTTTTTTATAATTTGCAACTCGAAATCGTTGACAACACTGTTTGCATCAGACGCGTGAGCGACTTTTTCTCTTCATTCTCTCATCGCTTAGCTAAAATTAAATATGTGATTGTGTGAGTTTTGGCCACCTCTGCTTTAGTATAATAAAATAAAATTGGTGTACAAATACTCGATACCGAGTGAGTTTCGATGCTTTCGATCCGATACTTACTCGAGTACCGATGCTTTCTGCCGATACTACAAGCGAGTAAAAGTATCGATACTTTAGTGGTATCGTTTGATCCCTAGTGACAATTGCTTATAACATGATAATAGTTATAGCGGCAAGTTTTGTCATTGTACGCGAATAGGGCGGCTAAATAAACAATAAGACATTGTGTGTATAAAAATAAATAAATTGTTGTTTACATACAAAATACGAACGGTAGGTAAGTGAGAGATGAGTGTCGGGGGCGCTCCCCCAAAGGAGCGCAGGCACTCAATACCAAGCGCAAGCAAAAGAAATGCATATTTAACAATTACTGCATACAGCCGAAAAAGCAAAACCAGCAACAACAACGCCAAAGAAAACTCTTATACTGCTAACACACCATCACAAACAGCAGATGCAGCCAAGCATTTTTTTTATATAAAATTCGTGAAATCGATTTAACAAATCTTTTGTTTTGAAAATGAGATCTTGTTACAATATACATTTTAAAACAAAAAACGAATATAATATCTCCAGATGGTAATAATAAATAACACAAATTACATATATAATAGTGATGTACAAACAATTTTCTTTAAAAATGCGCGTACTTTTTAAAAATATTTGTTTCAACACATTTTGCAATAGGACTGCGCATTTATTAAAATTATTATAACTCATTAATTGATTAATCGTACAATCCGCTTTTAAGAGCTCGGCGCTAAAAATTTAATAAAAACCTATAATAAGGCGAGATCAGCTATTTCCACAATTTCTTCAAAATTCCCTATAGTGCCTCAATGTCTAATCAACCTTGATAACATACTGTTCGATGGAAACACACCTATTTAGGCAAATAAAATGGTTTCACAGTTTTCATTTAGTAAAATTTTGGAACTTTTCCTGCTAAATTAATTAAATTTAAAATATTAACATATGTCATTCAAATAACAGACATTTGTTACCGTTGGACCTTTCAAATTGCCCTCTGCATACCTAAACATGACAAATAGGGATCAAACCAAGGCGAATTTATACAAGGTGTTGTTGATGGCGAATTTAGATTTTCGCCGTGGTACACAACACCACCTTGTATAAATTCGCCTTGGAACAAACGATACCACCGAGTACAACAAAAAAAATTGTTCCTCTTCGGGGTATGATAAATAAAACGTCCTCTTTGTTATTTGAAGGGTTTGGAGGGTTTATTTAAATGTTATTTTTACCCCGCTTGACAATACGAAAGGAATGAAAAACTGTATAAGCAAAATGCCCTTTTATACATTTACAAACAACGTTCCGCTAGATCTCACAAACTGTTAGGCAAATCTATATACGGTAAAACATAGAATAGAAAAATAAAGTACACAAAGATGAGATAATCGATAAAATTGATTAGATAAAATATAAAGCCCGAAACACAACACCCACCCCCGTAAAACGACCAGCCGGGAGGCTTTACTTCCTTCAATCTTCCCTTTGAACATCTAGGTCGAGAATCGCTAGCTTTGATACTGGACGCCTGTAACAACTATCAGCAGTCCTCACTTCAGCCGAGCGCGCTATACCGTCAGAACCATGGAACAACTGCAATACTCTTCCTCTCTTCCATTGGGAACGCGGCAAATCGACGTCGCATATAAATACGAGATCTCCAATGCTAATAGGCTTCGACGGCAAACACCACTTCATCCTTCTCTTTAGGTCTGGTAAATACTCTTGTACCCATCGACGCCACATTCCATTTCTCAGGTTTTGTACAACTCTCCATTGCTTGCGCAAACACATCAATTTTGGTTCGTAAGGTGCAGGTGTTTGTGTGGAGTTTGTACAGCCCAGCAGGAAATGGTTTGGTGTTAGCGGTTCGGGATCTTCTGGCGTGACGGGAAGATTAGTCAGCGGCCTGGAGTTCACGATATTCTCTGCTTCAATTAAAAAAATTGGAAGCGTTTCTAATCGAGGCGCCTATTCCTCTAACATTACTCGCAGCACCTGTTTCACTGAGCGCACAAGTCGTTCCCAAACGCCACCTTCGCTGGGGTTTGCTGGTGTGGTAAATACCCATTTAATGCCTGCCGGTGCTAGCTCAGAGCCACTCTTCTCTAACTCTTTGGCGATGCCCACAAAATTCGTGCCGTTTTCGCTTCTCATCTGAACTGGAATCCCTCTGCCATTCAGGAAATTTCGGACGACCATCAAAAACGAGTCTGTCGAAAGGTCCACTGCAGTTTCGAGATGCACACCTCTAGTAGTGAGACACGTGAACAGGGCGACCCATCTTTTTTCTCGTTGGCGTCGAATTGTTACGAAAGTCGGTCCAAAGAAGTCCAAACCCGTATACGAAAATGGCCTCACATAAGGCGTGACACGATCAGGAGGCAATGCAGACATTTGTGGTTGACGTGGCGTCGCTCTTCGCATTCTACACAACGGGCATTTTGCTTGTATGCTGTTCAACAGTCTGCGAAGGGACGGGATCCAAAAGCGTTGTCTTATTTCACACATGGTCATTGATACGTTGATATGATAACCCTTGTTGTGGTAATACTGTGCGATGAGACGAGTCAACTGATGCAGTTTAGGTAATATAATCGGCCTTCGCGTTTCCTCTGGAAGACACCTGGCTCGCTCTACTCTTCCGTGTGCGCGAATTAAACCGTTTTCGCCGATATAGGGGTTGAGCGACTTGAGCGGACTGGTAGATGAAACAGCGACTCTCCGCCGTATGTTCTCCAAATCTGACGAAAATACCTCCTCCTGCACGCATTTTAAAATATACACCTCAGCGTCCGCCTCTTCTTCCATACTCAGCTCTCCGATGAACAAGTTCTCATTCTGCCGCTTACGGTTAAGATTTTTTACAAATCGCCACACCCACGCCATCGTACATTTCAGTCTACGAAAATTTGAAAAGCGGTTAATTCGAGTTGTCAAAAAACATACCCGATGGGTTGCGAAGGCTGAGTAGTTAGCTCGTATCTCCTCATTGCTATGGTCTTCAGAGCTCTGCATGTCCGAGTTATCTGGCCACTCCTCTTCGTCTTTATGCAGAAAGTCTGGACCACTTATCCACTTACTATTGTGAGTTGGTGGTATTTTTGCTCGCGTCGCTTCGTCCGCAGGGTTTAACGAACCTGGACACCATCGCCAGTCGTTGAGTTTGCTGTATTCTAAAATCTCTGCCACTCGATTAGCGACGTACTGTTTGTAAGAACGATGATCTTAATTAACCCATCGAATTACTGTGTGGGAATCGCTCCAAAACACGCATCGACTAACGTTGACTTCGTGGCATTTGATGATGCTTTCTTTTAATCGAACACCCATAACTGCAGCTTGTAGTTCCATTTTGGGAATGGTATGAAAACGAGTAGGTGCACAGCTGGTTTTTGCAGCGACGAATTTTACCTTCACCTTGCCACTATCAACCACTCGCCAGTACGATACAACTGCAAGTGCTTCTTCGCTTGCGTCTGCAAAAGTGTGCAATTCCACCGACGCTCTCTCAAAATTTGCAAAATAACAGCGTTCGATTCGAATTTGTTCCACTCTTTTCAGCTCGGTTCGCCACAGCTTCCACCAACGATAGATCTCGTCCGTTATAGGGTCGTCCCAGTCAATACTGGTTTTCCATATATTCTGCATCAGAATCTTTGTCATAATCATGTAGTTTGCCAAAAACCCGAACGGATCAAAGACTGACATATTAACAGCCAAGGTCTCTCTCTTTGAAGGTTTACGAGAGAAATCTAAAATATCTCCTGGCACTTTGTTCAATTTCAAAGTGAACACGAAAACATCTGGTTTTGGCAGCCACCTCATACCAAGTATTCTTTCAATATTTCCTTCAACACTCACAGAAACACGATTTTCGCTCGCCGAGCTTCTAACAGCTTCCATTACGGCATTAGAATTTGAGACAATTCAAAACCACCTTGCTAGTGGATGGAAATTACCTCTTTGACAACGTCTATCGTTCGCTCTGGAAACAGTCAACATAATTGTCGACGTAGTGCTTCTCAACGATACCTTTAACAGCTAGCGTGGATGTCTTCCAGAATCTACTAGCATTACAATTTTTAACAAATTGTGCAACGGTAGGCGAGCATGTGGCGCCAAAAATCAATCGCTCCATAACATACGTCTCAATCGGGTTTGAAGACTCGCCATTTCTCCACAAAAACCTCTGGCAGTCTCTGTCTGCTTGACGAACTATTCATTTTCCTCTCAACACTTTCTAGTCGTCGGACTGCCATATCGAAACTCGGTGGAAACGGTTGTACGTTTTCTTTCCAAATCAGCCCAGATTCATACCGGTTTCCAATGCGTTCAGTGGTCGATTTCAATATTAACATGGCTTTCTCAACAGCTGATGACGTAAGTGGCTTCAAATTGGCTTTTGCCCCGAAAGAATCCATCTCAAACTACTGCTTCATCATCATATGCATTTCATTAAGCTTATCATCATAAGCAGGGAACGGATTTTTAGGACCTAAAAACCTATAAAAAAGGCAAAATAAAATAACGAAATAGGCTGGAAAAGGCAAAATAAAATAGCGAAAAAGGCAGGAAAAGGCACTAGGTATTGCAAAAAAGGCAAAACAAAATAGTGAAAAAGGCAGGAAAAGGCACTAGGTATTACAAAAAAAGCAAAATAAGGCACTAAAAAAGACAGAAAATACGAAGAATAATCAAAAAATACATTTATTTTAGAAATGTTTATATTACAAGTAAAAAGAGAAAAACTATGAACTAGTTGCATTATATGAAAAATTTGTACTTTGAATTTTTGACTATTTTATCTTTTCGAGTTTCTAATTCGTAAAACTTTAATCTGTATAATTGTAGTAACATTGAACCACAAGATGCATTTTGAAGTTTTCTGGCAGCATTTTCATTCGATTTTCGCGAAGAAAAGCCTTGAATGAACTAAATGTGCGCACGACGTACGTTGATACAAGAGGAGCCCAATTTAAATATGGAACGTTTGAAACGTTCATATTATCAGGAATAAGGGCGTTTTCCTCGCCCTATATAATTTTATCCACATCCCTTATTGTCTCCCAGCCTACGTTAACTGAGAAAACGGCTTTGAATTTTTCAAACACCAATTTGGCAAGAGGTCCCTGCTCTTCTATAAGCCACATGGGCATGTGTATATTTTTTAATCTTAAAAAAAAAAATGTAAATGCTATAATCGATTTTTTAAAGGCAGAAAAGGCAAATATCTTAAAAAAGGCAAAAAAATGCAACATAAAATGTGTATATATGGAATCAGGGAAAGCTAAATCGTGGACATTCTTAATCGAATATACTCTATCTCTTTAGCAGAAAAAAAGGCAATTTCCATAAAATCCGTTCACTGATCATAAGCAATACTTCGTCTGCAATGCAATACTCGCTTCACGCATGAATCAAACTAACCACAATCTTCGGCTGTACCCCACTGTAATCGCGCATAGGAAACTTCGATAAGTGTTGCCTACTCAATACGGCCGATCTATTAAAGCTTTGCTGAGGTAGCGACAGATGTGAGGACACATAAACTTTGACATTCATTGCACTCTACCATGTTGCTCTTCAGAAGCGTTCGGTGCTATTGATTGCGAAATATATAAAAGAGGGTGGTGTACTTGAGTACATCCATCCGACCCACAACGTTTCCGCGAATAACAATTTCTGGCATGATGTCCTCTTTTTAAACAGCAATAGCACACCCGCATCTCTTTGGCTCTATCACACCGATCACCAACGCTCAACACTCACCGTATCACTGCAAACACTTTCGATGCGCGACGCCAACAGCAACAAAACGACGGGCAGCATTTGACCCAGAAAACTTAGGTGTTTTCTTTTCTTTGAAAGGATTCGACATTATTGGCAAAGAATCTGCTACCATATGTGCTAAACGTCGAACAGTATTCAACCAATCACTAAAATCAACGATTGTTGGTTGGTGGTCCAGCTGCAAGCACTTCTCTGCCCATTGCATTTGCTTCTGCACTGGCAATTTCCCAACGAGCTCACTCAATAATGTAGGATTAGACAAATGATGTTCCCCTTTAGCATTCTTTAAAAACGTAGCCATATTATTTATGTGTGTTGCAAAATTTACCAACGACTCTTAATTGTCATCGGCTATTGTTGGTATCATTCGCACTTCTCCATTATTGTTGCCACGTTGTTAGAATTCGCGAGGAGTGCTTCCACTGTTTCTTTTGCTCTGTCCTTTAACGCATCTCGTAGCCGCATAATGTGGTGCAAATTCGAATATTCGAAGTCTCGAGTGGTGCTTTCAAAGGCTTCTACAAACACTTGCCACTCCTCAGGCAGACCGGAAAACGTCGGCAATGGATAAATTTTCTTGTGGCGAAATTGTCGATTATCGCTCGTAATTGCTGATGAAGGCTGTGACCAAATACCACGCGGTGCTTGACTCCCAGGTAACGGTTGTAGCGGCTCCGAAATCGCAGCTCCCTCAAATCGCTCTGCGTGAATGGTGGGTCCTGGCTGCAATTCTTCTGGAGGTTCTGCTGTACCATGTGGTGCATGATCCCTTTCAGTTTGCTGATTATTGGTAAGGAAAAGGTTCTGCATTGCATGTATTTGCTTCTTAAATTCCGCCATCATAGCCGCTAGTCTCTTTTCGTACATACGAGTCAAATATTCTGTAGAAGATTCGCCGGTATCCGATGCTCCTACTGGTGGCGAAACTATAGCGCTCCCAGAAGCCCTAGTGGCTGGCGGCGATCGCATCACTTTAGTTGGCGTTGGCTTTGGCATTATTATTTCTTACTAAACCATTTAAATAAAGTTGTTCGTTTTCGGGGATAAATAAAACGCCTTCTTTTTAATTTCAAGGGTTTGGAGGGTTTTGTTTAAATGTTTTGTTACCCCGCTTGACAATACGAAAGGAATGAAAAACAGTATAAGCAAAATGCCCTTTTATACATTTACAAACAACGTTCCGCTAGATCTCACAAACTGCTAGACAAATCTATATACGGTAAAACATAGAATAGAAAAATAAAGTACACAAAGATGAGATAATCGATAAAATTGATTAGATAAAATATAAAGCCCGAAACACAACACCCGCCCCCGTAAAACGACCAGCCGGGAGGCTTTACTTCCTTCAATCTTCCCTTTGAACATCTAGGTCGAGAATCGCTAGCTTTGATACTGGACGCCTGTAACAACTATCAGCAGTCCTCACTTCAGCCGAGCGCGCTATACCGTCAGAACCATGGAACAACTGCAATACTCTTCCTCTCTTCCATTGGGAACGCGGCAAATCGACGTCGCATATAAATACGAGATCTCCAATGCTAATAGGCTTCGACGGCAAACACCACTTCATCCTTCTCTTTAGGTCTGGTAAATACTCTTGTACCCATCGACGCCACATTCCATTTCTCAGGTTTTGTACAACTCTCCATTGCTTGCGCAAACACATCAATTTTGGTTCGTAAGGTGCAGGTGTTTGTGTGGAGTTTGTACAGCCCAGCAGGAAATGGTTTGGTGTTAGCGGTTCGGGATCTTCTGGCGTGACGGGAAGATGAGTCAGCGGCCTGGAGTTCACGATATTCTCTGCTTCAATTAAAAAACTTTGAAGCGTTTCTAATCGAGGCGCCTGTTCCTTTAACATCACTCGCAGCGCCTGTTTCACTGAGCGCACAAGTCGTTCCCAAACGCCACCTTCGCTGGGGTTTGCTGGTGTGGTAAATACCCATTTAATGCCTGCCGGTGCTAGCTCAGAGCCACTCTTCTCTAACTCTTTGGCGATGCCCACAAAATTCGTGCCGTTTTCGCTTCTCATCTGAACTGGAATCCCTCTGCCATTCAGGAAATTTCGGACGACCATCAAAAACGAGTCTGTCGAAAGGTCCACTGCAGTTTCGAGATGCACACCTCTAGTAGTGAGACACGTGAACAGGGCGACCCATCTTTTTTCTCGTTGGCGTCGAATTGTTACGAAAGTCGGTCCAAAGAAGTCCAAACCCGTATACGAAAATGGCCTCACATAAGGCGTGACACGATCAGGAGGCAATGCAGACATTTGTGGTTGACGTGGCGTCGCTCTTCGCATTCTACACAACGGGCATTTTGCTTGTATGCTGTTCAACAGTCTGCGAAGGGACGGGATCCAAAAGCGTTGTCTTATTTCACACATGGTCGTTGATACGTTGATATGATAACCCTTGTTGTGGTAATACTGTGCGATGAGACGAGTCAACTGATGCAGTTTAGGTAATATAATCGGCCTTCGCGTTTCCTCTGGAAGACACCTGGCTCTCTCTACTCTTCCGTGTGCGCGAATTAAACCGTTTTCGCCGATATAGGGGTTG